TCAAGCGAGTCTCCTGCCTCAGTATCCCAAGTAGCTGGGACCACAGGCGCCTGCCACAACACCCGGCTATTTTTTGGTTTCAGCCATCACTGTTGTTTTGGTGGGCCCGGGCTGGATTCAAACCTGCCACCTTAGGTGTATGTGGCTGGCACCTTAGCCACTTGAGCCATAGGCACCAAGCCGCAATAAGCTTTTCTTAAATAAATACATAAAATACTTAAGAGAGCAACTACAGAGTTCCTTGATGACATAAATCAATTTGGCTGAATCATTAATATTTCTATGTGCAAAATTCCAATAGAATGGGGAATGGGCTTTAAATGAGCTAAATGCAGCTTTATTCATTATTATTCATTTGTTAATTTAGTAAGTAATCAATGAGCAATTACTTTAAGAAAAATACCAGGCCAAAAATCTTGCACATTCAGAGATTTTATTTTTTAGCCTTTGTTCTCAATAAGTTTATAACTAAGATCTATAGCCACAGCTTTTTCTGGCCTTTTCCACCCAGTTCCCAATCTAAATGACTTTCTTTTTAAAACAGCATCTAGCAAAAAAATTCAAACAGAAATTTAGGAGCAGAAACTTGAGGAAGAGCTATGTCATATTTACTCTACCTGTTTTGCACAGCATCTACAGCTACCAGAAAAACTCTTCATGATATTTTCAAGGTCTAAGGCCCGTTCAGGACACGCTCTCTCTCTTCTAGTCACATTTCCACGACACAGGGGACAATGTACTCCGCTTTCTCTCATTGCAGTCAGGAAACATTTTCTACAGAAACTAAATCAAACATTGTGACACATTAATTATAAAAAAAATTACTTCTGTCATCTCTATGGTTAAACACAAAAAAGAGAGTATGTATTCATGTTAAGTTAGGCTATTCATATATACATAAATCAGAATTTTAAGAACTCTATTTTTTTCCAGAGGATAAGACTGATAATTGAACTAGATGAGGATATACAAGAAATCATAATCAAGTCTGCTTTACACTTTTTCAACATAGTATATGAAAAATAAATATTAATATATATTACTAGATGAAGCATGGAATAAAGGATGAACTGCATCTTACCCCTAGCCCTACCATTTATCAGCTTTGAGATCTTAGGCAACACACTAAACCACACTGAATCTCCATTTTCTCCCTTAAAAAGGATGGATCCCATCAGCTTTTGTCTAAACTAATGTACATCAAATTGGTGTTCCACAAGATAATAAATAGGTCTACTATAAAAGAGTACACAGACCAATTTGGAAAGTCCTAGGATAAGGTTAGTTTCTCCCATAAGGGAAACATAAGTATTGCCCAAACTTATTTCATTGAGAAATATGAAAATTTCATACAACAGTGTGCAATGGAACATAATTTGTGAAATATCTGACCAGGCGCCATGGCTCACACCTGTAATCCTAGCACTCTGGGAGGCTGAAGAGGGAGGATTGCTTGAGTTCAGGAGTTCAAGACCAGCTTAAGACCCCATCTCTACTAAAAACTGAAAAATTAGCTTGGTGCTGTGGTGGGCACCTACAGTCCCAGCTACCTGGGGGGCTGAGAGAGGAGGATCACTCCAACCCAGGAGTTTGAGGTTGCTGTGTGATAGGCTGACACCACAACACACTCTAGCCTGTGCAACTAAGTGAGACTCTGTCCTGAAAAAAAAATTCAACAAATAGAAAAAATCCTATAGCATCATTATTGCATTTAGATTAATAAAGAGAATCATTAGCCAGGAATGGTGGCCCATAACTTTAATCACAATACTTTGATGAAAATATTTCAAATTGTATATGAAAACGTCACACTGTACTCCATGATTGCATTAATGTACACAGCTATGATTTAATTAAAAAAAAAAACCAACTTTAATCACAATACTTTGGGAGGCCCAGGAGGGAGGACTGCTTGAACCTACAAGTTGGAGGCTGTAGTGAGCTATGATGAGGCCAGTGCACTCTAGCCTTGGTGACAGAGTGATCCATCCCTAAACCCCCCCCCAAACAAAACAAAAATTTCCTATATTCCCTCCTACCTCATCCATCTTTATCCAGGATATTTCTATTCTTCAGATGTTGCAGAAATAAGGGCCCCCCATAAATTAATACCTATACATCACCTAGATCTTAGCAATAATGTCACTTAAGGGTCTTAGACCACTGAGCCATTCATCCACTAAATCTGATCCCTTATACTCTCTCTAGGAAACCATGAATTTTATTTGAATTAAAATATCTCATCAACACCCAGCTCCAAGAGAGTTAGGAACAGGACTCACCACAGTATTCCCAGTACTTTAATAGTGCCAGGCACCCTATCAGGCATTCATTACTATTTCCTAAAGCAATGCATATTGATTTACCCGAATGGAATCCAACCGCTATTAAATCCCTTAAGCCAAACACATTCACAGTCCTCAAATCAAAACTAAAAGTGTTTTCCATTTACAAAAAATTTCACTAGAATTGTAATCACACCTGTTGTGACATGGCCAACAAATTTCCTTGTATTTACCCTTTGACTCAGCCATTCCACCCATCAGAATTTATCTTACAATAAAAATTCTCAAGTGTAAATTGCTGTATTAGTAGGCCCAGGTAAGTAAAAGATCTGAATTTCTGCCTTTATAAAGCTTCAGCGTAACCAAAGAGACTGACGTTAGTCAAATCACCTGATTTCAAAAATGTTACCATAAGCTGTGACAGGAGATACATAAGAAAGTTATTCAGGTTTTTTATCTCCAATTTTACTGTTCCTCTATACCACCAAGCATGTTTCTTCAGATATAAAATTGTTGATCTTCAACTCCCTTATTTTGCTTAGCCAAGGAGCCTGCACCTTTAAGATACTGCATTATCCTGAAACAACTTAAAAAGTTACCTTTAAATTTTTCCCAACTTTAAACTAGCAGATGCCAGATCAATTTCTTTTCCATTCTCCCAACAAAAGGCTCACTGAGGAAGAGACATTAAAAAACACTCCCACCCATCATGCTCCTAATTTTAGTAAAAGCAAATTAAATAATTAAAAATCTGGTACTTTTGGAGGCCAAGGTGAGAAGACTTGCTTGAGGTCAGAACTTCAACACCAACCTGGGAAACATAGCAAGACCCTATCTCTATTCCTTAAAAACAAAAAATAAAATAAAATAAATTTGTTTTAAAAAAGATAAAAATCAGGCACCTAATTATTTACCCTCCTACTCAGTAATCAAAGAAATTCCCCAAAATAACAAACTTTAGGGAAAAAAAATTAGAAGCTATTTTAGATTTGTTTGTTTGGGGGACACTAAGTCTCACTGCTGCCCCAGTGCTGTGGTCTCAACCTAGGTCACAGCAACCTCAAACGCCTAGGTTCCAGTGATCCTCCTCCCTCAGCCTCCTACATAGCTGAACTACAGAAGCCTACCAAAACCCCTAGCTAATTTTTTCTATTTTTACTACAGACAGAGTCTTCATCTCACTCAGGCTGGTCTTGAGTCCCTGAGCTCAAGCAATTCTCTCACTTCAGCCTCCCAGACAGCTAGGATCATAGGCATGAACCATCATGCGGGGCCTGAGAGGTTTTTAAATAGTCTTCAGGATTTAAAATTAAGTCAATGTTCTGTTATACAATTAATAGTAATAGCATACACTTTGAAGAAATTATGGCATTTTACAAATAACTGTATGTCAAAAGGATTTGGATAAAGTCTTTAAAATATTAAAAAAAAAAAAGATGGTCTAGAACAATTACCGAATCAGCAAGAACCTATATAAGCCTAGTTTTTAGAATTATAATACACAAATCTCACTCTTCTGAGAGCACTGTCTAGAAGTACTCAGAATGGTCCAGTGTCTGACATACCACTGTAGGCTTTTCTACCATACAGCCTCTTAACAAAATTAGGCTATCCTGAATCCTTGGTAATACAACTGTTTACTTACCCAAGAAAGTTGGGTAAGTACCAAAATCTGCATTGTGGCATGTGCCCAGGCAGAGTCTGAGGGGTTTGTGTTGTGAGACCTAAAGTTCTTATGAGGTTATCTAAAACAAACAAACAAACAAACAAAAAACAAAAACATGTCAGCAGGGTCTATGGTGGTTTCATGTGTCCTGTGTTTACGATAGAATCAAGTGTGCTTTCCTTATCAAAGAGAAAAAAATCACTGGAAAAATGTTGAAGGCACAGGCACAGAGTCAGAAAGCTACAATAAATTCTTGAGTAATAAATATTAAAAGGCTAAAAAACAAAACAAAAGCCAAGTATACAAGTCTGTAAGAAACCTTAATTAAGTATATAGAGCATCACTGCTCAAGTAACAAGATACCGATACAACTATTAAAACTGTAAGCCCAGTAAGGTGGCAAGCCTATAGTCAGAACTCCTCAGGAAGCTGAGGTGGGAAGATTGTTTTGAGTTCAGGAGTTCTAGCCTAGCCTGGGCAATATGGTGAGACTCATATTTGAAAAAATAAAATCAGGCCAGGAACAGTGGCTCACACCTGTAATCCTAACACTCTGGGAGGCCAAGGCAAGTAGATTGCCTGAGCTCTCAGGTGAGACCAGCCTGAGCAAGATTGAGACCCCATCTCTAAAAATAGGGTATTTTGGTGGGCACCTGTAGTCCCAGCTACTTGGGAGGCTTAGGCAAAAGAATCACTTGAGCCCAAAAGTTGGAGGTTGCTGTAAGCTATGATACCACAGTGCTCTGGTATGACAAAGTAAGACTCTGTCTCAAATAAATAAATAAACAAACAAAACTGAATTAAAAAATTAAAAAATTAAATTATAAGAAATATAAACTGAAAATTCAGG